ACGTTTATTCATACGGCGGTTGACTTCTCACTTCAAACTACCATCACCTCACTCGAAGACATATTCGACTATTTCACAGTACTCACCTCACCTTTGTTCTACCTTTGTGTTTGTCTCTTACATCTTTGAAACACTCTTCTGTTCCCCCCCCCCTGTCGACTTTTTCAATTGGATGTTTCTTCCCCTCTGTGAAGCCTGAAGCCAACTAAAGGGCTAATAACCATCAAGACGCCTGCCATTTGATATAAATAAATAAATTTTGACAGTGTTCTTTATTGTTCAGTTTAACCCTTCAACCGATTTAAATAAATATAAAGTACAAATTTATCTATTTATGGTAAATTGTTGGCATACTACGTAAGCATTAATAAATAAAATTATAAATACGTAAGTTTTTCCTAAAGATAACTAAGTAAGCACGATAAATGCCTTACTAAACATTCAAAATTTGACAAATAAATGAATCGTTTTAATATAATGAATTGACAATGTGTAAGGCTAAGCGTAAACGACGAAAATATGAGTAAGGGGAAATTAATTTGACATCGATCCCATGAACTACATGTGGGACACGTTATCGCTGTGTGCGTCATCGTATGCCTGCATGTCTGCTCGCCAGGATTCGGAGGTGCGGCCGTACAAACAGTGACCAATCATCAACCTCTGTATAACCTAATCAGCAATCCTGATCATGATTAGGCCCCCTACGTGTACACTTTATCGGCAAAATACCCTCTGAATAAACGTGCTCCGTGCTACACGTCTGTTTCCTTTATAGCTGGGCTATAGCTTAGCTGGTTCTGGGAGTCTAGCTAGAAGTTGGAGAATCTGTCATAGAGATTTCTGAGTCAGTCAGGCTTTACCAGTGTAGCAATCCGCTACAGATTTGTAGTTTGATTCGTACTTCGTTGTAAGGAGACGGCAGTTGGAATAGTCTATCGATCTCGAGCCAATTGCTAGACAGAAGAACATTGCGGTGATCACTTCAAGGTGAAATATGAACCTAGTAATTGTCGCAAACAATCCTATTGGCTTATTATTTAGGATACTGTTATAATTAATGCAATATTTTTGACGACAAATATTGTGGCGATGCAATGATTTATTAGAATGAGACGAATCATAAAGGTCATTCCTAATAGAATTTTAGATACTCAATTTCATTGCCGATGAGGCTTAGTAAATAACCCATAACACTGCTATTTTGCTACTTCTACATAGCAAGTAGTCCAAGAAAAATAAATGTACTTAAATCTATTTGCTATATTTTAGATTGGTTATGGAATAGAAATTGAGTGAATTAAGAGAATTCATATTTTGATTGAATTAATTAACCAAAATGTTGCAAATCAATTTCACTTCCATTTTTAATCACCAAGTATCGAATTCCCATTACAATTTAATTATAAAAATTTCAAATCATAGATTCTTTTAGAATATTTGCTAGAATGAGTCCATAACACCCTATTATCCGCTCAACTGCTAACTCTACTTTACTTGATTTAACAATGACCCATAAATTTATCTGATGTATATACTTCCCTCCATTTCTTCCAATTATTTTTAGACAATCTACATCATTAACTGTATGAAGTTGAACTCAAAAATAGTCCCTGATTGGTCAGGGAACATAAAATCTCAATCATGGATGTTTTAAGTGAGATTAATTACTAAGGAACTCTTAAATTGCGTATAATTAGCCCCATTCTGGTTGACAAACAACACAACTGAAGACTCTTTAGATGCTGCACAGTTGACCAAGTTCCCTGCATTTCTCAGTCATCAACTTATTTCAAGGGGTGTGTGATAGACTTACCTCCACGTGGTACACCCTGGTCAACGTATACTCATACGGCAAAAAAGTCTATTATTCGGCAGTTGACTTCCGACTTCAAAACACCATCACCTCACTGTATGTCATATTCGACTACTTCCACAGTACTCACCTCATCTTTTTCACTCTACCTTTGTGTCTCTCTCTTTTACATCTTTGAAATACTTTTCTGTTCTCCTCCCCCTCTCGACTTTCTTTTCACTTTGATGTTCCTTCTTCTCTGTGAAGCCTGAAGTCAACTAAAGGGCTTATGATAACTATCAAAATGCCTGCCATTTGATATAAATAAATACTTATTTCAATGTTTGAGGGGTNTTCTGAGTCAGTCAGGCTTTAATAAAGTAGCAATCCGCTGCAGTCCATTGTCCATTGCATTTTCATTCATCTTTAACACAAAACAACCTTGAAGCATGCTACTTATGTTGAAATACTTTTCTCCCCTCCATTTCTATCTCATGTATGCTTTCTTCATGGTTTGAATTGCAAAACAAGGACGATAACACCCTTCAGAATGTTCGAGTACGCGGGAGACTCCTTCCCTGCAAACTCCGAATAAAATTAATCAATTTATGAGATAAAAATGATCGGTTTTTCAATTTGCATAATTATTTCTGACATTATAATTATTACCTTTAAAGGAAATGATCTATTTCAGCAAGAGTGGAATGTCAATTTTGATTCCCCATTCGTTCTGTTATAAATTTTACCGAGAAAAAAAAATAGATTTAAACTTTTACAAGCATTTTTAGCATTTCTTTGTTTCCAAGTGGTAAGAAATGGTAACAATTGTTGATCGGACACTTGAAAATGAATCATTGGAAATTATTGATTTTCAGGAGTCGTAGGTCATCTTTATAATCGAATTCAGAAATTAATTTCCAAGAGTCCTTGTTCATTGAGGTGTTCTAAAGTAAAGGAAAATGGCGTTTGGATATCAACTCGTCCGTTCATGGGGTTTCAATGCCATATAACTTACCCCTTCGTGTTGATTGAATAGTAGTTCATATATTCTTCCAGCATTACCTACAATTAATAGGAAACATTTTCATATTTGATTATTACTTCATTATCACTTAAACTGAATGCAGTCTAGTAAATGGTTGTTAATCCAAAACAAGTTAACTTAATCCAATTATCGGCTCTCACATTTCGGGTGTAATCGTTTAATTGAATGAATTGATCATTTTACACAAAACATCATTGGAATGAACTTCAAAATGGGTAAATTTCGAAGTTGGTGAGGAAAATAAATAAACGAGTGAAAATTCCAGTTAAAATGTCAAAAGCCTGATGAGTTCATAAAATTCTTGAAGATGTTGAAATAAATTTCTACTTCAACTTTTAATCACACTCTCTCATTCCTTAAATTTCCTCATTATTTTCGATTGCAAAAAAGTGAGTACAATTTAAGTTAATTCCAATTGAAAAAATAGGTGCAAACGATATGCTCAAAATTGTGTCAATAATAGTTACAATGATAGCAGATAATAATGATAAAGACATAAAATTAAGAAAAAAATTAAAATTTGACTCACAAGCAAACAAAAGACTCCCATTAAAAGAGATCATCGAAACTGGTCTAAAGGAGGCGTTGATTACTTCGGTCCACTGGGGAGGTCCATTAGAAAATAAGGACAACATCTCCACAGAAAAAGTTGAACCCTCAAAATCACCAGCGACGTACACGTTTCCATTGAAAAATTCTGCTTTTGGATAAGCCCTCGAATGAAGCATTGGAGCGATTTCACACCAACTGCCTGCATGTCCAAGAGGCGATGAAGGTGTCAAAAATATTTCAGCTTTGTCGACACTCTGTGTTAAAGTTCTAATTTTACCACACCCACCAACAACTATGTCACCAACACCGGGGATATGTGCTGCTCCTGTGCCATACCTAGGTGTTGGCATTGGGGACAGTTCCACCCACCTAATTTTAAATAAATGAAAAATTTGGGCACTAGTAAATTATTCGTTACCGACTACCTAGAAGTCGAAGTTTGCGATCCGGTAAATTCTACCATCTTCATATGTACATGCTGGGACACACCACTGCGAAATCTTAACAACCAGGTCNATTGCGTATAATTAGCCCCATTCTGGTTGACAAACAACACAACTGAAGACTCTTTAGATGCTGCACAGTTGACCAAGTTCCCTGCATTTCTCAGTCATCAACTTATTTCAAGGGGTGTGTGATAGACTTACCTCCACGTGGTACACCCTGGTCAACGTATACTCATACGGCAAAAAAGTCTATTATTCGGCAGTTGACTTCCGACTTCAAAACACCATCACCTCACTGTATGTCATATTCGACTACTTCCACAGTACTCACCTCATCTTTTTCACTCTACCTTTGTGTCTCTCTCTTTTACATCTTTGAAATACTTTTCTGTTCTCCTCCCCCTCTCGACTTTCTTTTCACTTTGATGTTCCTTCTTCTCTGTGAAGCCTGAAGTATGATAACCATCAAACCGCCTGCCATTTGATATAAATAAATACTCTTAGAAATCAAAATGCCTGCCATTTGATATAAATAAATACTTATTTCAATGTTTGAGGGGTAAAAATTAGCAAAGCGATAAATTTGTAGTCGTGTCCCATAGCCTGTAACAGTTAATTTTTAAATGAAAATAATTGTAGGAATTATGTGAGTATATTACACATGTAGCTGGTCAAAATTTAGAGTGTTATTGAAAAAACACAACGAAATAATCGAGATTCAGTTGAAGTTGCAACTTAATAATTAAACTTCAAGTACAGTCTCATACTTTGTCCAACATCTGTAAAAATAAATGATCAAATACATGTTTGGGAGGTCTGAACACTTTGGAAATATAGTTTTTCAATTTTTTTAACAAAGAGTTTCAAACCTTACTTTTAACACGGTTGTTCAAAGTACAAATAAAAATAAATAAAATTGATTTTTAGTCATCATTCATTGTACCTTAACAAAAAAACTTTTTAAAAATAAAATTTTTTTATAAAAATGCGTATAAAACCTTATAAAACAGTAGATTAATAAATGTTTTGAGGGCAGAACACATATTTGAAAGAAAAATGATATTTTACTTCTCTGCCATAATCACCGCCTTTTGTGAACAGATGCGACCTCTGTTCTAATTGGCTGGGATTTGCAGCAATATTTTATATCGCATAATCCGAAATGGATTTACAACCAGGATTGTTATTAAATGATGAAGCCTTCGCACGTGTACCTGAACAGAATAAACCCGTTTTCATCTATGACTGGCTACGTAGTCTTGATAGGCGGCTCTCTCAATCCACAAAATCAGATGTTAAAAATGTCCAATCTGCTCTTATCGATCAACTTATGGCTCAAGTATCTCAAGGTGTTGGTCCTCCAACAAGAAAGTTATTAGGCAGATGCTTGGCAAAGATATTCACAGCTGGAGATACAATATCACTTTACAAAGTTCTTGACACATGCAACGATATTCTCAAAGACCGAGACGATAATCCAACAGCAATTAATAGGCGCCTCACCGCTTTGACTTGTCTTGGAATTATCTACCGAAGTCTTGGACGTCTTTGTGGTCGTTGTTTTGAAGAAACTGCAGGGATCTTGACGAAAATGATGAAGCAAGTTGAATCTCAAACACGGTGTGAAATTCTTACTACTCTTCGGGAAATAGTGACTGGTTTTGGTGGTGCTGAAGCCGCCTGTTTCCGTGACATCTACAAAATTGCCAGGTCTTTCATCAATGACAGAGTTCCTGCTGTCCGACTTGCTGTTGTCCAGGTATCAGCGTATATTTATTTTCTATTGTTATGTTTTGGAAGGTGTTGTTTTTTTCCTACACTAGATTAAATACCTTATTAATTTATAATTGTGTGATGGGTAGTGCTTCAAATTATCTGATTCGTGAATTCGTCATTTAATGCATGGTGCTAATACCTTTCGATAATGCTCCACCGTAACACGGGTAGTTTTTATTATTCTAGAGTTTAAAGAGATTACTACTTTACTTTGCTGATATTCTTTCAAAATGAAGATTTATCCCATGTTTACAACTTTTGTTTTCTTTACATCCGGAATATTTAGAAGTCATTGACACCTTTGCTGTTTATCGAAAACCTATTTTCTAAACTTGCTTTAGTGTTTATTTCCTGTGTACCCATGTATTTTTGTTTTGTTTGACATCTTTTTCACAGTTTGGTATCTTCATTCCAGTATCCACCAATCTCTCCAATTATATGAGATGAGCGATGGTTTTTAGGGATTGAGTGCTTATTTTTAAATAGGTATAATAGAATTTTCAGAAATTTTAACTGTTTTATTATTCATTTACTGTGTTTGCCAATATTGTTCCATAATTCTTTATTTGAATGCCATCCCATTGTAATGGGTAATTTTCCTTCTCGCTTTAATTCGGTTACACAGTTTGTCAGTGTCTACTTTTCTCTCCTGCTCGGTTGTTGTATCGTGTGTGGTTTTTGTCCTTTGTATGTGATTGTGCATGTTGATTTTTAACTGCCAATTTTCCCCATAACGACGCTCTCTTAGGCATCAGTTCTTTTTAGCGGTTGAAATACATCTGACTAATAAATCAATTTCTCGTTATTTTGCAGTTCTTCTCTTTTTTCCATAAGAATTTTAGGGGTTCTCTCTTACTTTTATTTGCTCTAAAGATGTTTTGTGTATCCCGTCTAGTGTCTCAACAGTCTTGCAAAGAACCATGTGACCTTCTTTACTGGTGATTTGGATGGAGTTATGAGCATGTGCATCAAGGGCTTGGAGGGTTCCAACCACGCTGTTCGAATGGAGATTGCCAAGTTGCTCGGATTTGTCTTGGCCAAAACCCAGCTTGATGCTCCTGTTGGCGGTAACAATGGAAATGCAAATCAGTCCTCAGGGAATACTTCTGCTGGTGGGGCGTTATCAAGTAAGTTGTTAATCAATCTTTGGATTATTAGTCGTTATTTTGTGGGCGTCTGAACTTGTTTTCGCTTATTACCTTTTAATTAGCTTCTTAAGATTTGTATTTTGTACATGTCTTGGAATTGAAGATTACTGTTTTTAAGTTAATCAAATATCCGGAAAATATGTTGGAGATTGTTTCCTATCGTCTTAGCTTATTAATCATATTGAGCCCACCCTTACTCACTAATCTAAGCAGTTTTAGTACGTTATGTCGGTACTACTTTGAGTTTGCATGATTGATTTGGATTATTGCATGAAATGGAAGGAGCATCCGATTTGCCAGTGATTGCAAATAAAAAATTTATTTATATCAAATGGCAGGCATTTTGATAGTTATCATTAGCCTTTTAGTTAATTTTGAGCTTCACAGAGAGGTGGAGGAACATCAAAGTCACCAAAGGTCGAGACAGGGGTGGGAGTAACAGAAGAGTGATTCACGGATGTAAGAGAGGCAGATGTAAAGGTAGAGAAAAAGGTAAAGTGAGGTGATTACTGTGGAAGTGGTGGAATGTGACATACAATCGGGTCATGGTAGTTTGAAGTCAAAAAGTCAACTGCCGGTTTTTAGACTTTTGGCGTTTGAGTATACGTTGGCCAGGGCGCACCACGTGGGGGCAAGTCTATTGCACACCTCGCAATTAATTTAATT